TTGATGTTTCCCTTGGAAGAGGAGGTAATTTGCTCTGTAATTCATTAATGTTGATCTTCTTTAAAATAAACAGTAATACAAGAGAAACTGAATTTTAGAAGTTAAGCCATGTGTTCCTGATAGAGTTGAAACCGTGTGTGTGAGCAGGGCACACAGGAGGTCTGTGACCACATATTGCTGATTTCTTCAATAAATGCCAGTTTGGTTTGCATCAGATCTACCAGCCAAAATAAACAAACCAATGACTACCTTAAATTCAGCATGACTTAACTATAAAAGGTGAATCAAACTTTCAAAAAATAATATTTGCAGAGCTCCAACTGTGAGAGTCTAGGATTGATTTCATGTTACCTAGACCTAAGCTGCAGTCAGTGGTACTTAAAGGCGGTAGAGGCAGAACAGAAATCAAAGCTACTGTAGGTAGTCAAAGCTAGCTGGAGCAAAACGCAGTATTGCACGTGGAGCTTCTGAACCTGCCCAGTCTGATTTACGTCTACAGAGAGGGAATATCTCCTGAAGGGTACGCTTCCTGATTCACCTACCAAGCAGTTCCTTGTTGAAAACAAATAGCTTATTGTTACTCTGGTCACATAATAGTCTGTAAGTGCTTAACTTGGGCCTCTTCAAAGGCATTTGAACAGGAGCCTGTGAATTTAAAAGGACTATTTAGTTCCATTAACCTTCTTCTCTTAAAAAAATCCCTGGACTCTAATGGCTAACAAAAGGTTTCCTCCTGCCAGTGACTTCAACTCTTTTCTAACTTTATATTCACATACCAGGAAATTACAAAGAAGTCTGACTACCCTATCCCCAATTGCTTGTTCAGCATTAATGATAAGAAATTGGATAGGTTTGGAAGACTTTATTTTCAGGATCTAATCCAGAAACCTGCTATAATGTGTCAAAATTAATAGTATGGAAACTGGCACCTGTGTTTTCAGATTTGTCTACTGTTCAGCCACGCCTACCTAAAATAATAATTTTAAAAAATACTCTTTTTTCCCCATACTGAAGATACTGTTAGGCTGGAGCTGTGGGCAGTTAAAAAAAAATACCTGTAGACCCTTTAAAACTTTCAGTCACTTTAACTTTTTTGACTTGTGTTCTTTCAGTCACTGTGCTGGTTTTGGCTGGGTTAGAGTTAATTTTCTTCACAGCAGCTAGTATGGGGCTATGTTTTGGATTTGTGCTGAAAACAGTGTTGGTAACACAGGGATGTTTTCGGTACTGCTGAGCAGTGCTTACACAGAGTCAAGGCCTTTGCTGCTTCTCACCCCACCCCACCAGCGAGTGGGCTGGGGGTGCACAAGAAGTTGGGAGGGGGCACAGCTGGGACAGCTGACCCCAACTGACCAAAGGGATATTCCATACCATATGACATCATGCTCAGCATGTATAAAGCTGGGGGAAGAAGGAGGAAGGGGGGGACGTTCAGAGTGATGGTGTTTGTCTTCTCAAGTAACGGTTACGTGTGATGGAGCCCTGCTTTCCTGGAGATGGCTGAACACCTGCCTGCTGATGGGAGGTGGTGAATGAATTCCTTGTTTTGGTTTGCTTGCGTGCGCAGCTTTTGCTTTGTGTATTAAACTGTCTTTATCTCAACCCACGAGTTTTCTCACGCATGCTCTTCTGATTCTCTCCCGCATCCCACCAGGGGAGAGTGAGCGAGCGGCTGTGTGGGGTTTAGTTGCTGGCTGGGGTTAAACCACAACAGTCACCTTGTATCTTCTGTGGAGTTTCGTGATGATCTAGTTAGGGACACAGCAGCTCCTTCTGCCATTGTTTCATTCTCCTTGATTAAATTAGAAACACATTTCTTCTGGGTCTTCTTCTTTCTAAGCAGTAATCCTTTCCATCCCTGACTGTGTTTCTGAAGGTTGCAGGTGTCTTCTTCCCCCTCTGCAGGTCCAGTCTGTGACAAGGCTTGCCTTTTACCTGTTACTCAGGGCAGACAGCCTTTGACCTCTCTTCAGTCAGATGTGTTTGAAATATTCTGCAATATTGACTGTTAGTGAAATTTAACTCAGTGGTTGTCTGTCAGCTGATCTTTATTTCCACCTGGACAGTCAGCCTCCAAGTACAGCATCACGAAGGAGTGCTAGAAACTGTGGGATAAGCTGCTAAGTGCAGTGGAATTCCTGGAGCAGGCTGGCTATAAACTCTGTATCCAAAGAGAAACAAAAAGCAACAAGATGAACTTCTGAAAATTGTGTTTTAATGCATCTGGGCATGGTATGTAGGGTGGGCATTGGGTCTTTGGTACCAGCTGTTCGACTTCATAAATCTGCTGTTGTTACACCGACCTACTTGCTAATGTAGACAAAGCACCACTTTAATGAGGTATGGATCTCTGCGCTGACATCACTAGCTTGCTATTACTATACATGTGTAGTAGTATGAATGTTGTTTTGATATCCATTTGGTATTCCTATGCGGACATCCCTTAGATGAGAGTCCTAACCATCTCTAGCTCTATCCTGTTCAGAGTCACATACAGCTTATCATCTGGAGTGAGCATATGACATATTTGTTTCCATTAATATCCAGTTTGGAAGGGAAATGAACTAATTTTTGGGGTTTGGACAAAAAAAGGAAT